GCGAACCTTGTCCCTTTCATCCTCACTATACGCATTTTAGTGCTAGCAGAGAAATGATCAGTGTCGTGGATAAATATTTCAGTCTTAACCGGATTACTTTACGAATAGTTGGCCTATGGCCTTATCAAAAATCGAACCTTTCTCGAATTCACTTATTTTGTTGCTTTGGTATTGTTGTAACCTTTATTATATTTCAGGTATGTCAGTATTCTAATCATATTGTTTTCCCATTTATTTGGAAATAATATTTCCTAATAAAAATAAATTTTATAATAAATGATTCAGAATCTAAAATCACTTTAGGTTAATTAACTCCAAAAGTGATTATATTATAGTAGTAAAATCCTGTCTTGTATGTAATTTATATTAAAGTTTATGTGTTATTAAATTTATTATTAATTTTGATTAAAGAAGTAATCAAAAGATTTATTATAATTCTTAGTAGATACTTATTATACCCAAAAATTAATAAATTGAAATTGCAGTAATGATTTATTTTTAATTTTTATTAACTAAAATTGTTTGTATAACTTCATTATTATTATAATAAATTATTGAGATAATACTTTTTATTTACATTTTGTTTACATTTATTTACATTAATTACAGTCAGTGTTAATGTACATTACTTACAGTTACATTAATTACAGTTAGTGTTAATGTACATTGTAGAAAGATTTTATATTTTATACAATGATTATAAATATGTTCTATAAAACAGCTCATTATTTATACATTTATATTATTGTATTTACTAATATGTATGTCTTAATTTGTCGTGTCTTAATACAAAGTATGTCTTATAATATGTATATTAACGTATGTTATTATACGTATCTTTTTAATACTTTAATAGTGCTATACTTGAATATATTTTTAATATCTATAAATCCTAACATGTTGTTAATTAAATAAAACATCATTTTCAAATAATTACAATTTATTCTTAGATAATGTTATTAAAAAAGTAAAATAATCGTTTATATAGAATATAAATAACGTAAATTATTTTAAATACTCAACTTCAACCAATCTAATCAAACATTTTCAAACTATAGTTTCATGTATTAAACTTGATGTATTAAGCAAAATTTAAAATACTCTGGTAAAAAATATAGATCTATATAATTTTAATTTTATCAGAAAATTATTAATTACAGTTTACAACATTTTTTACTTCAGAATGTACTACAAACAACATTATAAAGATTTTTTCTTTGTTGATTCCTATTATTGGTGCAGTTATAAATTATTACTTGTTTTACGTTAACAGTGACACAGTGAGTTGATTATTTATTGTATTTGAAAAAACATTTACATAATACAATCTTGCAACCATTATAATTTTATTAATTTTTACTCTAACGAAAGTTACATAAGAATAACAAAAAGTTACATGTAACATGAGAATTATTAAACGACTTATTAAAACAAATAGGTAAAATATTTAATAGAACACCTTCAGCATATCTATGATGATTTAAAAGACAATAATGAAATTGCCATTATAGACAGATACGGAAACTATGCGAAACGTTATACGATTTTGCTTACAAGTAAGACAATATTTTTTATTTTTTATTCTTTTGGTATTTTAAATAAATTAATAAATTTAGAGTTTTGTAATATAAAAAATGTATTGAATTGGGTAAAATATTTTAATTCTTGCTTAAATTTAAATACATCAAAAAATATTGGAATGAAAAAAACTATTAAGAAGACTATACATATAAGAAAACAATACAATCAAAATAAAAATTCTGTTTTGTACTTTTTTTATTTTAGTACAATTCAATAATTCAAATTACTCAAAAATAAAATTATTTATGTATTCTTATTTTAATTAAAAGTATATACTCTTTAAATATCTAATAATGTTGAAGTAAGAAGATAATACCGAAAATAAAAAAAACGCTTCGTATAATGCATAATTGCATGTACAAAGCATCTTTTTATTTTCGATAACTATAATACATAAATATTACATTTATAAGTTTTATATGTATTTATTAACTAAAAAATGAAATTTAATAAGTGTTAAGAACATAAAATAAAAGACAATGTAAAGAAATAATTTAGAATATATTAGGAGAAAAAATAATATTAAATATCGAGTATGCGATATTTTAAATATTTATACATACATATTATAAATGTCTTATTCTTAAAAAACTTGTATAACTAATTTCTTATAATATTATTTAGTGATTCCTTTTTACGGTGTATTTATCATTATTGGTCAATTACCATATTTTAAGCACATTTTATTTACAAACGGATCTCAATCACGTCTCTTGCAAGTCTCAACTGAATACTTTATTGACGAAGAAAAATATTATTACATCTTGCTATTCCATATAGATACGGCTTTATTTATAGCAATTATGACACTTACGGCAACAGCAGCAACACTATTTGCATACGTTCAACATGTCTGCGGACTATTTAAAATTGCTAGGTAAAAAGTAACAAATATTAAAATAATCAAAAGTTAAAAATTAAAAAATAAAAAAAAAATTCTGTTTCCTACATCTGAAAATTTTAAATCCAAAAGTTTACTTTGAAAAATATATAGAAAATTTCTTGAATATAACAAGCACAATAACAATATTATGATAGACTTATTAAAATAATGAAACTTTAATGTTCATAATACATTTACACAGTGATGTGCAATAAAATATTTACACAATTACAATTATATTATAGCTATTTTGGAAACAAAATTCTTAAAAATGTAATCAAATTCAGACTCGATAGGAAAAGGAAATATTATTTTCGAACTTTCTGCTATTAATATCTACTAATTTTTAACTTTTCCATTATATAAGATGATGAATGTTCTATATATAACAGAGAAAATATTTTACGGACCTAGAAAACTGTGTTAAATATTCAGTATATAACTCGTTCAAAATTATAACTACTCAACTTCAAAATTGTTTCTCGCTTTACATTGTCATATTACATTGTTAGATAGTAAATATTACTAAATTCTTATATAATTATAATAGTTAAATTTACAGTTATCGTATCAAGAACACAATAAAAATTTATATACGAAATATTAAATTGGAAAACAAGAATTTGATTCGTAATGGTCTTATTAATGGTGTAAATATTCATCGAAAAGCAATAATGTTGGTATTTATATTTCATTATATTTCTATAATATATGCACTAACAATTTATTTTTTTAAAGGTTATCCGAATATCTAATGTATAAATTTGAGATATCATTCTTATTTTTAATAGTGTTCGGAGTAATTACTTTGAGTCTTAATATTTTTCAAGTAAGTTTTATTTTGTATATAAATTTGCTTTTAATACACTGTTACATGCTTATATACTGTTTTGTATTAATAACATTATAGATTACATTTTTTTAATAGCTATAAAACAGCCTTAATATTCATTTAGACAAATATAAATACTAAATTTCTTTAAGAATTTGTCACAATAATATAATGCAATAGCAATAAAAATATTATATAATTGTAAATCAAACGTAACAATTAATAGAAGGATATTTATTTATATATAAATTGTTACGATTATAAAATGTAGTTAAAAGTTTTTAATAGTCAGGATAAAAGGCCAAAGACAAGCGAAATATAGGTATCAGTTAATATTTAACATAACTATGTGATTTTACATACTTTTGCTTCATTTCACTCGTCTTTGGCCTCTTATTTTGATTATTGTTTACAATAACAAACTAGTAATTTATTTATTAAAAGTTTATTTTACATTTTTATAGCAATTTATAAATTAAATTGTTAAATTTAAATTGCAATTTTAAAATTAATTTTGACACTAAAACTCTTACAGTTTTTACAGATTATATCATCTAATTATAAGACTGTGGAACTTCCAATAGCTTTTATAATAATTTATGTCTGTTTTATATACATGTTAATGTCCAATTTATGCGGACAAAACATTATAGATGGTTATGATCTTTTCTTTGTTACTGCGTAAGAAATATTGTAGTTTATTACATATTACGCAATTATCATATATAATTTTATAAACTTTAGTAACAAGGAAATAAATATAATATTACACGGCAACTATGCACATGCGAAAATAATGTACAAGTATTTTTTTCAAACTAACAATTTTTTGTATCGTTTATTACATGTAGATATAAAGTTGAGTGGTATATAACTCCTCTATATATACAAAAATTCATACTCTTTCTATTATTAAGAGGCAACAAGCATTTTGGCCTAAGAGTTAGTGGATTGTTCATAGCGTCCTTGGAATGTTTTTCAACGGTACGAAATATTTCATATTTTATAATGTACTAAATGTATCATATTTTAAGATAACGAAACAAAATTATTGTTATTTTGTTGTAGCTAGTAAATGCGTCCTTGTCTTATTTTATTGTCATCTACTCTATGCGACAATGACAGAGATACGTATCGATTAGCGTACATTACTATAATAATAAATTAGTAAAAAATACTTAATGTATTTTATGTGTGATTGAATAGAATATGATTCGATAAGTACGCAAATCAATATTTGCATTGATCATAATTTTAATTATATATATATATTAATTATATATAAATTTAATTATATATTATATATGTATAATAATGTAGTCGTTATAAATAATGTAATAAAGCCATAGTAAACGTAGTAATAAAAAGAATTAGAACAACATCGAATTGGCGATCATTTCTCACTGGGCATATAAATTTGAAGCACATTTCTATTGTTACGAATATCAAAGATAACTTACGACTGCACCCTTTGAAGAGACGAAAAAGAATGCGCCATCGACAAATAAGAAACGGTTAATGCGCTTGCGTAGCTTTCACGTCAAGTCTTCTCTTGTGAATGATATTCCATGAGAAAGAAACATCTGTCAAATTTCTTTCGGCGACGAATCGATTATTTAATCGGCAACCACATTTTGTCGCTATAGTCTTAAACTGCGTATTTCAATATCAGAGCTATTTTGTATCATTTTACAATTAGACTAAATTGTGAAAGTTGTCTCAAATTACGTAAATATTTTTAATAAAAGAGAAAAAGAAATATAGAAAATATAAATATAGATCACACAAATAGTGGGGATAAGCGAATCTTTGTCCCTTTTACCTCACCATACGCATTTTAGTATTAGCAGAGAAATGATTAGCGTTGTAGATAAATATTTCAATCTTAACCGGATTAATTTAATAATAGTTGGCCTGTGGCCTTATCAAAAATCAAAGTTTTCCCGAATTCACTTATTTTGTTGCTCTGGTATTGCTGCAACCTTTATTATATTTCAGGTATGCCGATATTCTAACCGTATTATTGTATTATTGTATTAATTTAAAGAATGTTTAGAATTATTTAACATTTGAAGATTTTTTCGTTAAGTTGTAGATATTTTCCTGATAAAAATAAATTATGTGATAAACAATTGAGAATATAAAATTATTTTAAATTTTAAAGCTGATTATAAGTAGCAAAATCTTGTCCTGCTTGGATAATTTATTAATATTAAAGAGATCTGTTTTACTAAATTTATTTTGTTTTAAGAAATAGTCAAAACTAATTATAAATTTTAATGTACATTTATTCACAAAAATTAAACTGGAATTGCTATAATAATTCATTTATATTTTTTATTAAATAAAATGGATTATATAACTCACATAATTTTGTAATATTTTGAGATAATGACTTCTATATTTACATTTTGAAAAATTACATAGTGTTAGTATACCGTAGAAAAATTCTATATTTTATACAATGATTATAAATTTGTTTTATAAAAAGTGTTTTATAAAAAAATTATTATTTGTATACTTATATTGTTATATTTATTAATATGTGTGTATTTATACATATATCGTGTCAACACAAAATGTGTATTATTATATACTATTGTATTATATATATTGCATGTTAATTATTGTACACATACATTTTTAATATAGTACCATACTTAAATATATTTTTAATATCTTAACACATCGTTTAATAAATAAGACGTTATTTCTAAATAATGTCCGAAAAAAATCAATTATTGGCAATTAGAATATAAATAGTGTGAATTGTTTTATGCTCAACTACAACTAATCAAAACTCTTTTATAATGTACTAAACGGAATTTAAAACACTCTGGTAAAAAATATAGACATTTATGTTTCTAACTATCAGAAAGTTATTAATTACAGCTTACAACATTTTTGACTTCAAAATGTACTATAGACCACATTATAAAGACATTTTCCTTGTTGTTGCCTTTCATGCTCGCATTTACAAATTATTGCTTGTTTTTTATTAACAGAGACACAGTAAGTTTATTACTTATAATCTGAATAAATATTTACATAATTTAATTTTGCAATCATTATAATTATGTTATTTTTTACTCTAATAAAACTTACACAAGTAATGTAAGAAATTAAATTATAAAAATAAATAGGTAATATATTCAATAGAACGACTTCAGCGTACCTATGAAGAATTAAAAGACAATAATGAAATTGCCATCATAGAAAGATACGGAAACTGCGCAAAACGTTATACGATTGCGTTAGGAGGTAACACAATATTTTTTATCTTTTATTTCGTTTTATGTTTTAAATAGATTAATGAATTTAATACAACAATGTTTTGAATTGAGCAAAACATCATAATATCTTGCTTAAATTTAAATACGTCAAAAATAGACGAATTAAAAAACTATTAAGAAAACTGAATTAAAAATCAAAATTCTTGTAATAAAAGTTTACTATTTTGTACTTTTCTTACTTTCAGTACAATTCAATAATTATAATTGCGGGACTAAAAAATAAAATTGTTTATATACTCTTATTAAAAGTATATAACTCAATCTATTAAATATAAAGTACTAATAATATAATATGAATTAGTTGCGTGTATGAAGCATCTTATTTTTTATATATAAAAACGATGATTACGATATAAAAATATTAAATCTATAATTTTTTTAAAACATTTATTCAATAAATAAAAAAGTTTTAAGCTTTAAAAACATAAAATAAAATATAATACTGTAAAAAAAAATAATTTAAAATGTAATCAAATTGGAAGCAAATGGAACATTAAATATCGGGTATACTATACTATATTCTACATACAAAACATACTATGTACAGTGCTAAAAAAACTTGCTTGATTAATTTCTTATAATGTTATTTAGTTCTTCCTGTTGGCTGTGCATTTGTCACTATCAGTCAATTGCCATATTTTAAAAACCTAATTTTCTTTACAAACGAGTCTCAATTATATCACTTGGATATCTCAACTGAATACTTTATTAATCAGGAAGAATATTTTTACATATTGCTA